TGACAATAACATGTTCCCAGCCTGGTGGTACAGCGTCCTTTTGTTTTTTTAATCTTTTAATTACTTACACGTTTTCTTTTAAAAAAATGAATATTATCTTCAGTTACTATCACTAGGACCTTGATGATCTAGTAGTTATACAAATAAAATAGAATCCGAGTATTTGCAACAACACCTCCGTAGACCGTAGCCAAGTGGTTTGTCCGTGACTTAGGAAGCCTGAGGGCGCAGGTTCGATCCCTCCTCCTTGTTATTTAATTAACACGTGGGTCCCACCAGTTTATCTAGGATGTGGCCGTGCCAAGGTGGAGTTTTTTAAAATATATATATTTTAATTAATGACGATTACATTCAATCAATTTTTGTCATAAGCTAGTGTCACAAAGATTGGGAAGTGCACATGGTGATGATTTTTTATGACTAAATCACAACTTAGTCACAAACGCTTGTCATCCAATGAAAAATTGTCATAAACGTATCTTGACTATGACTAAAAAGTGCTTGTCATATGAAAATTGTCATAGAAGGCCCAATCTTTTGTAGTGTAATATAGTCTGTCTCTTCGAGATCTATAACTTTGGTTTGGGTAATTTCTTCGTCTGAGTTCATAATAGCTTCAAAATAGGCATTTGAGATCATAAGTGATTTCAAATGAAAAAGTCATAACTATAAAATTGTAAATCTCATTGAGATCTACAACTTTGATATTGTTCATTTATCCATCTAAGTTCGTTCGATCAATTCAAAAATTTGGAATTTAAAATATGAGAACTTCAAACAGAATTTTGATACCATAAGTGATTTCAATAAAAGTTCGAGGGCCAAAAATAATCTTTTTCTAGATTATATGGGTAAAAACATTTAAAAAATACATTTACTTTATAGTACATATATAGGAGTAGATAAGACACCTAGTTTAACACTTCCTTTTTCTGCCTGTGATTAGGTAGAATATTTTTAGTAAATTTCAATCTCTATATTTTAATTTGGAGAGTAATTCGATGAATTTTGTACGTGTATATCTCTCATGTCTTCAACAGACTATAATTCTTTCCTCTATACTCCAATAGCTTATCATAGTTTTTCTTGTGTGGAAAAAATTGAGAGAATTACCATATTTAGAGAGTGGTGTACCGTCTCCAAAATTGGAGAGCGTGAATGGTGGTTTTGGAGAGCAACAAAGATGGAGAGCGGTTTAGGGAGTGTATTGGAGCTTGATTTGTTTTGTTTTCTAAATTTACGTGATAAAAAGTCATATAGATGGTCTCTTGAATATGCTCGTCTCCAATCTGTCTGTATATGGTATGTTTCTATCTACTTATTTCGTGCTTCTATGTTTCCATTTGCAGGGCATAAAAGGGATCTAAGACGTGTAAGGAACTTATATCTTGTATCGGCTTCACTTCCGTCATTTTCTCTTTTGCTTATCTATATGCTAATATTTTACTAAACCTCCTTTAGGCCTTGTTTGGATGTGTGTATTCACTTCAATCCACATGTGTTGGAGTGGAATAGAATGGAACTTACTTTAATTTCACTCCAATCAACTTCAACACATGTGGGTTGTGATAAATACATGTGTATCCAAACAAGGCCTTAGTCGATATGCATGCATATATAGAGAATCGGCTGGACCTATTTTCATGTAACAAGAAGTACGAGATAAAGGCATGCAAATTAAGCTCGCTTTCATGTTTTGAGACAAACAATAACTAAACAGACATTTTGTAATCCACGAACCAATAACAACAATTGAAAAATCTTTTACTCCTTGGAAGAACAAAGTTAAAGTATGAATAGCTTTGCAAATTGGATTCACTCATGCGAATTGGAAGAACTAAGCCAGGAATAGTTTGCAAATTGGATTGGCCAAACTATGCCCAAATAAAGAGAGTGCCATCTCCATTGTCGGTGCTTGAGATGGTTGGGGCAAGGGACAAGAATATCAATAATGCAGATAGTGAATGTAGCGGTCAATATTTCCCTCAATGGATTTATGAACATTTGGATGACTATTGTATCAGTATTTCTAAGATCAATGGGGAGACCACAGAGTTCATGAGAAATATGATAATTGTAGGTTTGTGGTGTATACAAGTGACACCGACTTATTGACCAACAATGACTAGAGTCGTCAAGATGCTAGAAGGAAGCACAAGTAATCTTGAACTGTCACAAAAAGTGATCCTGACTTGATAAGCACCAGTATGCTACTATTAATGCTATTCACCCCATTTTGTACAAAAATAAATGAAATTTATTCAATTCACTAGTCGCAGTGCTGCAAGGTTACAAATGTAGTTGGCAAACTGTAAGACATTCATAAAAATGTGTTTTCGGACCGTGTAAACACTAAACACCAGATTTTTCATTTTTTTAGATAATGGATATTTCATACCCGGCTTCATCTATTAAAAGTAGAATCAGGCCAATAATTACAAGAGTCTTAGACGCACAAAGGAGCTGTAAAGCACACAGTTCACAGCCGCCAATGGGCTAAACACAACAAAATAAAGTTTTGACTAAACCAGACCAATCCGAATATGTGATAATCATCCATTCGACGCAAAGAACTCCATGGCGGAACTTTCGAGATGCCGACTAGCTTGAACCAAGGTGACTCGCTGGTCGTCAAGTCGCTGTAACCTGGCCCATTGGCAAAGCCAATGCGTTCCTATGAATAGAACCTGCAAGAAAGGTTTTGGTCTACATTTATTAAAAACCACTTCGTTTCTAGTTAGCCAAATTGCCCAGCAAAGAGCTGCTGCTGCAGTTAGAAGCAATAAGTTGTGTTTGGACCCACCCAATTTTGACCAATGGTTGAACATATCATCCATATTGGTACGTTTTGTTATGCCAAACACTATCTGTACCGTGCGCCACAGCAATTTCGCATATGAACAATTAAAAAACAGATGTTGAATAGTCTGGTAAATGGCAAAAGCAACAATTCTTGTCACATTTCCAATTACGTCTAGCTAGATTGTCTTTAGTCAAAATCACTCCTTTTTTTAGATACCACAAAAATACTTTGATCTTTGTAGGTAACTTAGCACGCCAAATTTCTTGGGACACTCTTACACCATTGCTAACTAACACAGCATACATAGATTTTATAGAAAATTGCCCCGATGAATGTAGTGACCAAACAAAAGTATCCCTACCTTCCTGTAAGTTCACATTGCTTAATGAAGAAACAATTTTGTGCCAATCCCTCAGGTTGTTACCCACTAACGATCTACGAAACGAAATATTTAGTGGAACCGAACTGAGTATAGTAGCCACAGTGTCTTGTTTTCTCCTAACAATGTTAAACAACGAAGGATATTTTAACTTCAAGGGCTGATTTCCTATCAAGTATCTTCCCAAAATCGAGTCTGGGTACCATCTTTCAACTTGAATGAACCATACCCCATGAACAGGTCTTTCACATTCATTAGGCATTTCCAGAAATGTGAGTCTGTTGGCTTTTTTTAGCAGCCACCTATAGTTTTATCTTTGATATATTTATTTCTCAACAGCTCTTGCCACATCCCTTGTTCGTTGCAAAGTTTAAAAAGCCATTTGCTCAATAGACCTTTGTTTTGTATGTCTAGATTCTGTACCCCCAGTCCACCTTGATTTTTTGGTTGGCATATTAAGCTCCATTTCGTCAATCTATATTTTCTCTTGTGTTGGTCATTTTGCCCAAAACAAATCTTGATCTAAAACACTCTATCTTCTCTAACACTCTCTTGGGACCTCAAAAAAAGACAGCATAAACATTGGAAGACTTGACAGTACCGAGTTTATGAGCACTAGTCTGCCTCCCACAGTTAACATTTTTCCTTTCCATCCACTTAGTCTTTTCTCTATTCTTTCCTCTATCATCTTCCAGTCTTTGTTATTGAGTTTTCTAAAATGCATGGGTAGGCCTAGGTATCAGAAAGGGAGCCCGTACAATCTTGTATGGTTGTATTATTTGGGGAATTGGATTGTTTGGATGAAGCTCATTAATCTTAAGATGTGATAGCTAAGTCTTTCAGATATCCTCATAGGGGTATAGTGCGTTGGTGCATTCATAAGGGTTAGCATTGGCGGATTTGGGCCCCGGGCTGCCCGGGCTGCAGCCCGGGGCGAGGCCCATGAGCAATGGAAAATTGCTTTATAAAAATGGCACAAAAAGGCCTTCCAGCCCATTAGCCCACCCCGAGCAGGCCGTCGCAGCGAGAGCCGCCAGCCGGCTCCTGTCTCGCGTTTTGCCTTCCAGCTCCTTGGCCGCCCGCCCTCCTCGCTGGCGGACTCCAGCCTCCGAGCCTCGGCCTCCCCTCCCGTTTCACTGCCTCCACGGACCACGGCTCCATGGCAGCCGCCACCGCCACTCCGCCACCAGACTACTCCCGGTTCCCATGCGGGCCGACGGCGCTTAGCGCGACCTGCCGACCTCCGTCCGCGTCCACAGCACCTCCACACAGCGCCTTTGCCCTCCCGGCCTCCCCTCTCCCGTGTCCGCCTCCCTGCGACCCTGCGCCACGGCGACGCCGGCCGCGCGCCCGCGTGCCGCGCCTCCCGGCCTCCCCTCTCCCGTGTCCGCCTCCCTACGCCACGGCGACGCCGACCGCACCGGCTGGCCCCCCCGCCCCGCGTGGCGGCTCTCTGAGGCCTTGAGCTGGCCTGGCCTGCCGGCCTCGGCCTCTGGCTTGGCCGGCCTGGCTCGTGGCCCCTGCAGCCCTGGCTGGCCACTGGCATTTGCCCAAGGCCCACCCCCACGCTGCCACCCCTTGTTTGGTCAAGCGGCACTGACTCTTTGTGATGTCTGCTGTCTGCTGGATGACTGGATCCATGAAAATATGAAATAGGTTGATTTCTACTCTTTAGTTTCATTTCTTTTTGAAAATTGCTCCATGATTGCTACCTTTTACATTGCAAAGTCATGAATATTTCATTTCATTGAGCAGGACTGTCAACTGTCATTGAACATTTGAGTCTTACTTTTCAATTGCAACATTTCATACCTTATAATGGAGAAATACTATGCCAAAAAAGATGCGTCAAAGAGTACTGTCGAAACCATAGAGAGCCGGGTTGAGCAAAAAAGACCACGGATTGAACTTGATATGAGAGATATAGTTGCCGATCCGGGAGAAAGGAAGCCAATTGATGATTTTCATCATGACATTAGGGATGAGGCAAGGAGAGCATATCTACAAATAGGTCCATATAGGCCAGCTGGTCATAAGTTTCCAAAAACTAAAAAAAGATGGTAAAGGCCAATCAAGAGGATTTGTTGGATCATGGTTTGATCAATTTGATTGGTTAGAGTACAGTGTAGCCAAGGATGCAGCTTATTGCTTTTATTGCTATCTCTTTAAGCCACAACAAGCTGGGTTTCATAGTAATGATACATTCACCAAAGTTGGGTTTAGAAATTGGAAGAATGCAAAGGATTCTTTCAAGGAGCATGCTCAATCAATTGATGGCTTTCATAATAATGCAAGAAAGCGTGCACTTGATTTCAAAAATCAGAGGCAAAGTGTTGAACATGTGTGGACTGTTACAAGTGCAGCAGAAGAGGAGGCATATAAAGCTCGTTTAACTATCATGTTAGGCATTGCTAGATTCCTCCTTTTGCAAGCTCTAGCCTTTCGTGGACATGATGAGTCTAAAACATCAAGAAATAAAGGAACTTTATGGAGATGCTTGAATGGTACGAAAAAGAAGGATCCTAAGGCTGCACTTGTGACCGGTGAAAATGCTCCAGGGAATAATCAAATGAGTTGTCCAATGGTTCAGAAAGATTTGGCTAGGGCTTGTGCAGAGGAGACAAGTGAGTTAATTAAAAGTGAAATAGGAGATCGTTGGTTTGCGGTGCTTGTTGATGAGGCTCGTGATGCATCTATTAAGGAACAAATGGCTGTGGTTGTGAGGTATATACCTCCTCTCCATTTGGTTATTTCGTTGGTTTTGTTTTGTTGCTTTCAAGTAACACTATTTTCTCTTTTCTCTTGTAGGTTTGTCAATGATAAAGGAAGTGTGATTGAGAGGTTTCTTGGCATTGAACATGTTTCTGACACCACATCAACCTCACTTAAAAAAGCATTGGATACTATGCTTAGAAGATATGGTCTATCTATTTCCAAGATTAGAGGGCAAGGATATGATGGAGCTTCAAATATGAGAGGATAATTTCATGGGTTACAAAGACTGGTATTGAACGAAAACCCATATGCCTTTTACATCCACTGTTTTGCTCATCAATTGCAGCTTGTGGTAGTTTCTGTAGCCAAGTGTTGTGGCTCAACTTTTGATTTCTTCAATTATGTCACTTCAATCGTCAATGTTGTTAGTGCTTCTTGCAAGAGGAAAGATCAACTCCTTCAAAGTCACCATGATAAGCTTATTGAGCAGTTAGATAGTGGTACTATTTTTTCTGGGAGTGGGAAAAACCAAGAAATTAGTCTTGCTAGGCCCGGTGATACACGGTGGGGTACACATCATAAAACATTGGCACGTCTTATGATCATGTGGTCCTCTGTACTGGAGGTGTTGGAGAATATTAGTGAAGATGGAACTGATGGGGAAAAGAAAACTACAGCCTCTGGATTGATTCAAAGAATGGAGTCATTTGAATTTGTGTTCATATTACATCTTATGATCAGAGTATTGGGGATGACTCAAGACCTGTCACAATGTTTGCAAAAAAAAATCAAAACATTGTTCGTGCAATAGGATTAATTGGCTCTGTGATGAGAAATATGAATGAAATGAGGGAAAATGGTTGGGAAGCTCTTTTTGAAGAGGTAAAGGAGTTTTGCCTCCTCAACAACATAGAAATTCCTAATATGGAAGATATGATACCAGTTAGAGGTCGTTCGAGATGTCGTGGTGCTAAATTAGTGAGTTACTACCATCATTTTCATCATGGAATTTTCAATGTTGTGATTGATCAAGTTTATTGTGAGTTAAACAATCGATTTCCAGAAAGATCAACTCAACTCTTGAGATGTGTTGCTTGTCTTGATCCGAGGGATTCTTTTGCCAACTTTGAGGTACAGAAGTTAGTTGAGCTTGCTAAGATTTATAAAGATGACTTCTGTGATTATGACTGCATAAAGCTTGCGGGTGACCTTCGTATATTCATTGATGAAGTCAGAAATGATGATAATTTTGACAATTGTACTGATCTTGGTAACCTTGCTGAGAAGATGGTTCAGACTGAAAGAGATACAACTTTTCCTTTGGTGTATCGTCTCATTGAACTTGCATTGATTTTGCCGGTGGCAACAGCTACAGTTGAAAGAGCCTTCTCTGCTATGAATATTATCAAGACCGAGCGAAGAAATAAAATGAATGATGATTGGCTGAATAGTAGCATGATTTGCTTTATTGAGCGGGATTTGTTTGCATCGATTGAAGATGAAAAAAATTCTAAAGCGCTTTCAAGGCTTAAGAAACCGTAAGATGAATTTGCCAAATGAGGGCTCAAGGTGCGTATTGTTTACTTGTATTAATCTATTTCAATACATAATGTTATCTTGTTTTATAAATGGCTGAGATGTTGAAATTGTTTATGTAGAATTGAGGATGTCGGTGCAAGTGGAAGTGGTGTTAATTCATGAAGACATGTATGGTTCCTTTTTTTGTCATGGAAGACTCGTAATTTGGTACTTTTCTACCTTCAATGTTCTACGTATTGTTTAAGTCTATTGGTTGAACACTTGGGTGGGGTAAAATTTTAAGTCTTATATTAGTTAGCCCGGGGCGGAGCCCGTTTCTGGATCCGCCACTGAGGGTTAGGGTAGGTGTGTGTGTGTGTGAGCGTTTGTGTCAGTATTGTATTTCATAAAAAATCACAAAAAAGAATGTTCACGCTTTCTTCCGGCCTGATGTGCCTTCATACTCTTTCATTGGAAGTTCATTTCATTTCAGCAGTTAGGTTGTGTTTTATATACCTTTACATCCTTTTAAACACAAGCAAACTATGGATGTCAAGTGAAGAAATCTCCATTGGTCAGTCGGATCAGCACTACAAGGTAGTCAGTCAATCATCCTACACCCCCCTTAAAGGATGGCATTACTTCTTCAATAGGACATGGACTCTACCTAACACCCCCCTGGCACATACGTGTATATATGGTTGTGATGGACGACGTCTCATAGAATTTTTTTTAGATTGTTGTGATATGACGTTAGGATCATTTTTCTAAAAAAAATATATGTTTTTAGAGAGTTTGTATGCAAACAATAAGAAAGAAAATTAAATCAATTAATACGGAGAGAGGTCGTAACTTCTATCAAATACATGTTGGTGTTTTGTACCACGGGTAAGTCGGCAAGTAAAATTTAGTGTCATGCACAGGCCGGCCTCGATGGACTAGCATCTATATGTTTTCCAAAATACATGATGGGTTCCAAAATTTAATTTGCATCAACAAAAATGCATATATTGCCACATGTAATTTAATAGTGCTAAAATTCAACTTGGAAATGGCACTTCTCATATTCATGGGTTAACCTCACAATCTTTCAAGCACTTGCATTACCTGCAAATATATATGGTTTTGGTAGTATATAAATAAAACTGTCACAACTCTAACCATCCTTGATTCCTTGTAAATAATAGTGTTTGCCCTCCTTCCAATGGCTTAGTGGCCAAAACCCACTTTTGTGTGAAACATCCCTTAACAAGAAGCAAGAAACAGAGAAGAAGCACACAATTAGGATCTCCTTGGGAATTAACTAAAACTGGAAGGACGCCATGGTGCTTTAAGTTAATTAAGTAGGTAAAATGGCGCCAGAAGCGGTGGGGGAGGGAGGGAGGAGTGGCTGAGGAGGGAGAGGGCCCACATGTCAGGGACGTTGCACTGAGCTCCCTCTCTTCTGCTGCTTGTGTGTAAACTGTAAGTCGGTACTGTAAATGTAAAGTAAACAATGTGGCAAAACCAGCACACAACAAAAAACAATTCAAGTAATTGAAGGCACGGCAAGTCCAGTATTGTTTCTGAATCTGTGCACCGGCGGTTGCAGCTGCCAACAGACAAGCAAAGACACTCTGCCGCCGCTTCTGTTTCTGTTTTTGGCTTGGTACTGAAACTAGCAATGCTATATACACATGAGCAAGCAATGCAACCAATAATAAGTATTATCAAGATGCAATTGTAGGTTTAGATCGAGTCAAATCTCTTTAATTTTAACTGAGTTCAAACAAAATATTATTAATGTTCGTGACTTCAAATAGGTATACTATAAAAATATGTTTCACTATTAAATTTTTAATATTCATTTGATATTATTAAAACGAGAATTTTCTTTTTTATACAGAGGGAGTAAGTTGTATGTATGCCAAGAATAGAGTGACATTAGTCCTGACTGAGACCCATCTCTCTTGTATATGTGTATGGATGTTCTTTCTCCTCTCCTCTCCTCTCCTCTCCTCTCCTCCCTCTCTTTTGAAACACACACTCTCTATCCCTCCCTCACTTGCACCGACGTGGTGACGCGCCGGCCGGCCGCTAGCCAGTGGCGCAACTGGGGCAGCGGGGGCCATGCCCCTCGCCCCCCTAACAGTGAAATTTGTTTTAATACTTTATAAAAATGTATTATGGTTTAATTACAATATTTTCTCATTTTTTACTCATATTTTATCATATATTATGATTTTTTTTGCTATGAACACAAACTACATATGTAAAACATAGAAAAAATATTGATATTTGCACTTGTGTATATACTTATCACACTTATAAGGTGTTATTATATTTACTCGGCCCCCTTAATGAAAGTTGTTGGTTTCACACCCCCACACACACACACACACACACACCCACACCTACCATGTGGCACACCGGCGGTCCGTTCCGTCGCTCAGAAACTCCCCACCACGTTATTTGCGGGCTTCGTTGCCTGTGCGGTCGGCATTAGCTACCTACAGCAGCGTTTGTACTGCTGGACTCGTGCACCGCTGGCGTCATCGTTTACAACGCGCTCTACATGTCCTGTTTTGCGGCGGTCACCTACAGCACCGTCCAGGCGTCTAGCGTCTCCATCGCCATGCTGATCCTCGGTTTGACCTAGAGCCTGGACCAGCTAACACCGTTGAGCACCAGATGCTGCAGCTACCTCCTCGTCGCCTTCTTCTTCTGCTTCCTATCCTTCTCTGGCTTCATCTAGATCGTTGACCTCTTCGTCTTCATCAAGGTTGGTACCTCTTCGTCTTCGTCAAGGTCGGCAGATTCACCTGCTTGAGCTAGCCGACCAAGTTGCTAGTCATAGCTGGAGACGCTGTGGCAGCTCTCGGTGGGATGGCCAGCCTTCGCTGTAGAGGCGGTTCTCCCCCCTTAAGGGCATGTGCCCCCACCCACCCTCATCCCCCCCCATACATCCAAAGGTGCATGGGTGGGAGCACATGTCCTTAGGGGCATGTTCCCCCTACATACTTTCTTCTATAACTAGATACCCTCAGATCTATATCTGCTCTGTCACGTCACTTAGTAAAAAATCATTTATATACTGTATCGGTGACGATCGACGGCCCCCCTATATAATCCTCCAGGGATACAATACATAAGCACATATTTATGTTCTGTTCCATCCTATTTTGCTTATCGTGCATATCGTTGCTACTGTTAGTTTGCTTGAAAACGTCTAGAATGTCAGTTAGTGCATATAGTTGCCACCGTTAGTTGCTTGAAAACGTCTAGAATATAATATCAGTCCATTTTATTTTTGTCTCCGTTGGTTTGGTTCCAAGATTTTGTGCCCACCACAAGTATTAAACCACATATCCACAAATTTTTATGCAAAAGCATGTCAGTATTCCAGTTGTTTCATATTGTCAGTATTCAAGTTGTTCCATCCTATTTTACTTATCGTCCAACAGGGGAAATCTGTTTGTTTTTGCCTTTATTCAAGAGAAGCTGTCAAATCATCAGTGTCTTGCCACTGCAGATGATTAGAATGAATTAGAGTACCTCCAATGGCCGGATTGCAATTGGTGGATCACAATACCACTAGATTTATAGACCACTTATTTGACTT